CAAAACAAAAGTAGGATGACAATATAAAAATGATAAGAACGAAAAACTGTTATCAGTATATTACACCAAATAACAAAATTGAAAACTGTGATATATATATATACATATATATATATATATATATATATATATATATATATATATATATATATATATATATACGTGTGTGTGTGCGCGCGCGCGCGTATATATATATATATATATATATATATATATATATATATATATATATATATATATATATATATATATATATATATATGAAATCTAAAAAGTAACAATCAAACTGATTGCGTGACCAGCGTTAACTGATTAGCAGAGACATTGATGCATGGCGTTGAATCAACGATCATTCACCCCTGAAAACGCAGATATATATGTATATATATATATATATATATATATATATATATATATATATATATATATATATATATATATATATATATGTATATATATATACGTCTAATTTCTCAACATTCATTTCCATTTAAAGAAAAATATTATAGCACTTTAATAATATAGACTTTCATAGCAAAAATAAATATTAATTCTAAAAGCCATATTCTATAAAAATACAGCTTCAATATTAAATACAAAGCTAATCGTTACATATTTACCATTTGTATATATGCCACATAATTAACATTCAGTGTTGCTAAATATTCAATAGAAATTATCATAGCACAAACGCTATGCATCTTCAACTGTTTACACTTATAGAGAGAGTTTCCTTCAGGCGATGTCCTGGAGGAAACGGTCTCGGTGGTAAATTGGTGTCCAGTCGTAAGAAGCAGAGGGACCGCCGAGGTGTGATAGTCTTTAGAGCTCCTTGATTCCCACTGGCTGTTCGTCCTTGAGTTGTCTTACAGTGCAGTGAGAAGATTCCATGATTCTGGCTTGAACTTGAGAAAGAAAGAGAGAGAGAAGAGAGAAGAGAGATTAAGAGAGAGAGAGAGAGGGAGGAAGGGAGGGAGGGAGAGAGAGAGAGAGAGAGAGAGAGAGAGAGAGAGGAGAGAGAGAGAGGTAGGAGAGAGAGAAGAGAGAGATGAGAGATGAGGAGAGAGAGGGTGGGAGGAAGGGAGGGTAGGGAGAGAGAAAGAGAGAGATGAGAGATTAGGAGAGAGAGGGAGGAAGAGAAAGAGAAAATATTGAATAAGAGTAATGAAGGGAGAGGGAGGAAGGGAATGAGAGAAAAGAAAGAGAAAGAAAGGACAGAGAGAGAGAGAGAGAGAAAGAGAGAGAGAGAGAGAGAGAGAAACAAAGGAAAAACAGTATGAGAGAGACAAAGAGAAAAACAGAAACCAGAAACACAGGCAGAGAAAACCCAGGAAATTCCTTTGTCATAGAAAACTGGTCACGTCGCAACTGCAACAGAAAACGAGAAGTCATGTCACTCAACATTTTCTCTCTCTTTAAATGGTCATTGAAATACGGTTCAGTCATTCGAGTTTCATTAATGTCAAGATATGATTCAGACTGATATATGAATGTGTTTTAGAACAGAATTTGATTTAGAATCGAGAGTAAAAGTATTTGTTTTGGATATTACCACATTTGGTGTCCATTTAACATACAATGGATATGATTGTGTGTCTTTTATTATTATGTTTTATAAGAAGATGATATCACTGTGTATATGTGTTTGTGTATATGTATGTATGTATATATGTATATATATATATATATATATATATATATATATATATATATATATATATATATATATATATATGTGTGTGTGTGTGTGTGTGTGTGTGTGTGTGTGTGTGTGTGTGTGTGTGTGTGTGTGTGTGTGTGTGTGTGTATGTGTGTGTATGTATATATGTATGTATATATATATATATATATATATATATATATATATATATATATATATATATATATGTATGTATATATATAAATATATATGTGTATATGTATGCGTATATATGTATATATGCATATATGTATATATACATACACATATATACAAATGAATACAAATATGCATACACTGAAACATCTGCTCACTCAACCATAAGACATCTCATTCCATCAGTAATTCACTTTCGTACCGCGGGACCTCATCAGAAGAAGGCCATTAAGTTGATAAAGACGAATCGAAAGTCTTTTTAAAAGGAATCAAATGTCACAACGTATGGGTTTGAAGTCGCTGTTCTATGGCAGGATGGTGAGTGGTCGAAAAGATGGTGCAGATGGTGAGAGGCTGAGGGCGCGTGGATGTGGATGGTGAAATAATGATGAACGATTGGGAGAGAGTGTGTCTGTGTAAGTATATGACATAAATATAGAAAAGTGTGTGTGTATGTGTGTGTGTGTGTGTGTGTGTTTGTATGTGTGTATGTGTGTGTGTGTGTGTACTTAGAGAGAGAGATGAGAGAGAGAGAGAGAGAGAGATGAGAGAGAGAGAGAGAGAGAGAGAGAGAGAGAGAGAGAGAGAGAAATTAGCGAGAGCGAGGGAGAAAGTCCTGGAGGCAAAATGCTGGTTGCAGATTTCGATTTCATTAAAGAAAGTTAAGATCTACGATTAGCCACAACAATAAAAGTGAAATAATATGTCACTAATTAATTATCTTCCGTCATGTATTATGCCACATGGATGATTGTGCAACATCTTGATTAAAA